CGTGCCATTTCCAAAAACCACTCCTCACCTGTTCTTTCTGCTCCTGTGTTTGTTTGAGCGTATAACTGTGAATGATGTACTTCAGTTTTCCTCCTGCGTGGTAGTTTTGCCAAAGGCGCTCGTGTTGTGAGGCGTTCATGTAGCTACAGTTTTGTAGTGTCTATAGTGGAATTCTGATGCATCGCTTTTTGGGGGGGGGGTTTTCACACATCTTTATTAATAACTGCCCAAGTTTTTCAGAGGTGTTTCCCTGTGGCTGTCAGTTTAGTCTGATTCCTGTAACAGTCATTTCAGCGTACCGTATTCTAATTCTAATTCTGATTTAACTTGAGGTCTTTTGGATAATATCAAACCCAGACTAGTACTTTGACTCCCAGTTAAGTAGACAACCTGAACAATCCTCTAGATTTGTTCTATATTCAAGTACAACAGCATAGTTTACATAGGCTCTGATGAGGTTGGGCTCTGCTTAACATGAAATATGTAACCCTTGATACACTTTTGTAATTTGAATGAATGAGGCTATGTTTGTGTTCCTTTCAGTACTAGCTCAGAGCAGTGTCTAATGCTCAGTTTCTTCCACATACTCCACATGCCTTCCTCACTATGGCTACAACTTAGCAGATAACATAGTTAGGCAGTAACCAGAATTACAATGTCCATGTACCTATCCACATGCACAAAGCAATCCTGTGCTGCAAAGCCTACAATACATCACCCGACGTAATACCAGTACTGCTATAACAGTGCAGGAGGTGTGTGTGTGTGTGTGTGTGTGTATACACGTGCACATGCACAAACATCCTGCTCAACAACGCTCCACAGGTATTCATTAAACGGCACAAGTTCCAACCTGAAGTAAAGGCAGTGAATGTAACATGAATCGAAGACCAGTGTGTGTTCTTCCTCCATTTCCCAGATTCTAGAAAAATCATCCCCCAGCTAACAGACATGTATAAACAACACCCCCCTCATCTGCGCACCTGCACCCTCAACACCTGCATACTTGCTATATACTGTCACCTTTTGCTCGTTTGACTGGAAATCCAAACAAATATGTTCTTGTTTTTTGGGAAATCCATTACTGACTATGTATTTCTTTCATTTCTAAAAACCACAAAACCGCTGCTCCTTCAGAAGCCTCCATCATGCATATGGACAGATATTAATGCCAGTGGCAGATATGGGACTGGTACATCAAGGCAAGGCAAGGCAAGTTTATTTGTATAGCACAATTCACCAACAAGGTGATTCAAAGTGCTTTACAGAGACATTAGAAACAAGAACAAATAAAAAGCATGATTTAAAATTGATTAAAACAAGCAAGCAAACAAACAAACAAACAAACAAACAAACAAACAAACAAACAAACAAACAAACAAACAAACAAACAAACAAACAAACAAACAAACAAACAAACAAACAAACAAACAAACAAACAAAACAGTATATAAAATCAAAACAGATAAAATCAGAACAGTAGATAAGATCAGTAGTTAGTGTAAGTTTTGAAATTTAAGCTTAAAAGTGTGGATTTGGTGCTTTATTCAAATGCAGCTGAGAACAGGTGAGTCTTCAACCTGGATTTAAATAAACTGAGTGTTTCAGCTGATCTGAGGCTTTCTGGGAGTTTGTTCCAGATATAAGGAGCATAAAAGCTGAATGCAGCTTCTCCGTGTCTGGTTCTGACTCTGGGAACTGATAAAAGACCGGATCCAGATGACCTGAGGGATCTGGAAGGTTCATACTGGGTCAGGAGGTCACTGATGTATTTTGGTCCTAAACCATTCAGAGCTTTATAGGCCAGCATCAGAACTTTAAAGTCTATCCTCTGACGGACAGGCAGCCAGTGTAAAGACCTCAGAGCTGGACTGATGTGGTCCACTTTTTTGGTCTTAGTGAGGACTCGAGCAGCAGAGTTCTGAATGAGCTGTAGTTGTCTGACTGATTTTTTAGGTAGACCTGTAAAGATGCTGTTACAGTAATCAAGCCTACTAAAGATGAATGCATGGACTAGTTTTTCCAGGTCCTGTTGAGACATCAGATCTTTGATCCTTGATATATTCTTGAGGTGATAGTAAGCTGACTTTGTTATTGTCTTAATGTGTTTTTCTAAGTTTAGGTCTGCATCCATCACTACACCCACATTTCTCGCCTGGTTTGTGGTTTTTAGATGTATAGATTGAAGTTCTCTGGTGACCTGTAATCGTTTTTCTTTGGCGCCAAAGACTATTACCTCAGTTTTGTTTTTGTTTAGCTGGAGAAAATTGTGGCACAACCAGTCATTGATTTCCTCAATGCATTTACCAAGAGCCTGTACAGGGCCTCGGCCTCCTGGTGACATTGTGATATATATTTGTGTGTCATCTGCATAGCTGTGATAGTTTATGTTGTTGTTCTTTATAATCTGTGCCAGTGGGAGCATGTAGATGTTAAACAGAAGGGGTCCCAAGATGGAACCTTGGGGAACTCCACATGTGATACTTGTCTGCTCAGATGTGAAGTTACCTATTGATACAAAGTATTTCCTGTTTTCTACGTATGTTTTGAACCAGTTTAGTACAGTTCCTGAAAGACCTGTCCAGTTCTCCAGTCGTTTGAGTAATATGTTGTGGTCAACTGTATCAAATGCTGCACTGAGATCCAGTAAAACTAGGACTGACATTTTTCCACTGTCTGTATTCAGACATATGTCATTAAACACTTTGGTCAGAGCGGTTTCAGTGCTGTGGTTCTGTCTAAAACCTGACTGGAAGGCATCATAGCAGTTATTCTGTGTTAAGAAGTAACTGAGCTGTTGAGAAACTGCTTTTTCAATGATCTTACTTAAAAACGGGAGATTTGAGATCGGCCTGTAGTTGTTCATTTGTGTCTTGTCAAGATTGTCCTTTTTCAGTATAGGTTTGATTACAGCAGTTTTAGTGGTTCTGGAAACACACCTGACATTAAAGAAAAGTTGACGATCTGTAACAGGTCTGACTCCAAAGTCTTTGAGACCTTTTTGAAAAAACTTGTTGGCAGGACATCTAAACAGCAGGAGGAGTTCAGTTGACCTATGATGTCCTCCAGGTCTTTGCTGTTAATAGGTTGAAACTGTTTCATGGTGTTTAAACAGTTTTTCGGTGGACACAGTACATATCCTGGATCTGCTGTTGATGTACCAATTGCTTGTCTAATTTTTTGGATTTTTTCAGTGAAGAATTTGGCAAAGTCATTGCAGGCCATGGTCGAATGAAGTTCAGCTGCCACTGACACAGGAGGGTTTGTTAGCCTGTCAACTGTAGAAAATAAGACCCGAGCATTATGGCTGTTTTTAGTGACGATGTCAGAGAAGTAGGACCTTCTTGCATTCCTCAGTTGTAAATTATAATTGTGAAGTTTCTCTTTATAAATGTCATAATGAACCTGGAGGTTTGTTTTTCTCCATCTGCGCTCAGCTTTCCTACACTCTCTTTTTTCATTTTTCACCAGTGTGGAGTTTCTCCATGGAGACTTTTTCCTTCCAGAGATAACCTTCACCTTAATGGGAGCAATAGTGTCCATTACATTTAACATGTTAGCATTGAAGCTATTGACGAGCTCATTGACTGACCCTCTGGACAGGCCAGGTGTTAATGGGAAGACCTGGTTAAAAATTGCACTACTGTCTTCAGTTATACACCGTTTTGTGATCACTGTTGTTGATATATTTGTGTGGGCTGAGATTTTACTTTCAAAGAAAACACAGTAATGATCAGACACGCCCACATCAGACACAGTAATGTTTGAAATGCTCAGGCCCTTGGAGATCAGTAGGTCAAGAGTGTGTCCTCTATTATGTGTGGCCTCTGTTACATGCTGAGTCAGCCAAAGTTGCCCAGAGTGTTACTCAGGTCTTTAGTCCCTTTGTCCTGAGGGTTGTCCACATGAATGTTAAAATCCCCAACAATAATTACACAGTCAAAATCAACACAGATCACAGACAGCAGTTCACTGAGGTCATTAAAAAAGTCTGTGCAGTATTTGGGAGGCCTGTAAACATTAAGAAACACAACTTTGGATGGGGCCTTCAGCTGTAAAGCCACATATTCAAAAGACTGAAAACTTCCAGGAGATAGCTGCTTACATTGAAATGATTCATTAAATAAGACAGCAACCCCTCCTCCTCTCCTGCTCGCCCTGACCTCACTGATAAAACTGTAGTTAGGAGGGGTCGTCTCGATGAGAACAGCTCCACTGTTACTTTGGTCCAACCAAGTTTCAGTTAGAAACATAAAATCAAGGCTGTGCTCAGTGATTAAATCATTAATTAAAAATGTTTTCCCAGCTAAAGATCTAACGTTTAATAAAGCCAACTTAAGTGTTTTAGAGGTATTACTTGCCCCCTCGTGTTTGGGAGCAGTCTGTGGCACACAAGGTGTGTTTACTATGAATTTCTAGTAAAGTGCTTCATATGGAGCTGTCCAACTGAGAGCAATCATTGTGACACATTGTGTAAAAGAGTTTAGAGATTGAAGTAAAGATGATTTAATGCCATTTTAATTCCTTTATATTCTTCTCTGAACCTTATCTTTAAACTTTCTTTGTGATTAAATTAAACTTGAATGAAAAAGATGAAATACAAAGGACACCAGCCCTCACACACAGCAATAACATTATCTTGGCACAGGGCTGACTTGACACGGGCGCGGTTGTGATAAGGTGAATGTAGCACATTCATGAATCAGACATTATCCAGATAACATATGTAGAAATAGCTGCAGAACAAATAAAAAGGCAGAATTTTCTCACAGCTGTCTCTTGAAATGGGTGTGAATGTTACTGATTTGTTACAATTGAGTGATCCAATATTTAAAAATGGCTATTTGAAGTTTTGAATTTTGTCTTTTATACATTCCTCAGTTCCTGTTCTGGTAAATGTTTTACTCTCTTTTTTAACCCCTTTTTGTGTACTTCCTGTTTTATTTTGACATTTTGATTCCCAGTGCTGTTTCCTTTGTTTTTACTTCTCATGCCCATTAGTCTGACTGAATTCAGCTGTTCCAAATCATTGTTTGATGGTGTTGGAGTTTCCTGTTGTGCTGCATGCACGTCGCAAGTGTAAGTCAAAATAGGTTTTTCTCTGTTTATCAAACTAGTGTTGATTTAGCCGTCAGTAATTTTCTCCTTTAAGATTTTAATTATATATTCAAAGCCAAAACAAATGAAAATACAAGTTTGAACACATATGGCTTACAGCCTGGTGCCTTATTCTGAACTCCTCTTAAAAAACAAACCAAACAAACATATTTTGAGTCAGTAGTCACCTTTCTTTTGAAATACATAGGATGCTAAGATTGTTTTTTATAAGTGATACTTTGATGTAACAGACAGGTTTTGTTAGTCCAAATGACCATCCTTTCCTTAAGTAGGTCGGATGAGCTGATCTGAGTATTTTATGAACTCGGATCAACTCAAAACAGCCATCTCCAGGTTTTTCAGGGAATTGTCAAAAAACCATATATAGTCTATAGCGAGCAATCATATGTTGTTAATGTCTGGGAGAATGTGCAGACTGCTTTGAGCTACAGTAACTCAATAACCCCTCGTTGCAACAAAGGTATGCAGAAGAGCATCTCTGAATGTCCAAAACATTGAAACTTGAAGTAGATGGACTGTTGCAGCAGTTAACCACAGTAAACTGAGGCTCACCAACATTGGACAGTGGAACTATAGGAAAATGTTGCCTGGTCTGATGAGTTTTGATTTTTGGATCAGAATTTAGCGAAAACAACATGAAAAGATCCGTCCTGTCTTGTATGAGTGGTTCAGACTGGTGCTGTCACAATGTAGGGGATGTTTGCTTGGCACGTTTTGGCCTCTGAATACCAACTGAACACTGTTTAGATGTCACAGCCTACATGGTTATTGTTGCTGACCACATTTATCCCTGTGAGACCACAGTCTTCCAGAAGCATAACAAACCATGTCACAAAACTCGAATCATCTCAAATTGGCTTCCTGAACTTGACAGTGGACGTGCAACTGTGCTGCTATGGTGGCAGTACGAACCAAAATCTGAAAGGAATATTTCTAGTACTTTGTCAGATCTACGCCATGAGAAGGGCAAGCAAAGAATGTAGGATTTCTAAAGGACAAAGGGGTTCCAACCCAGTATTAACAAGGTCTACATGAGTAAATGTGTAATTAAAAGGTAGATCATTACAATGACTGATGGATATAAAAATAATATGTACATTATGAAGTGCATACCCAAACCTTTTGCTGACAGTCCTGGCCCTGTATCCTTTCTCGTGCATATGGCAAAAATTGAAAGTTATTTCATTAAAAAAAGACTCGTCATGCTCTGTAACAGGATATTTTAGATATCAACAGCCACAAATGGAAAGTCGTAAAACTTATCTTAAGTCCTGGAAACTAGCTCAGAGATTTTTGATTAGTGACTGTATATCAGGGATATCCAGCTCCAGGTCTCGAGTGCCGGTGTCCTGCAGGTTTTAGATCTCGCCCTGGGTCAGCACATCTGAATCACATGATTAGTTCATTAGCAGGCCTCTGGAGAACTTCAGGTCATTTAGCCATTTAAATCAGCGGTTCAGGACACAGCACTCGAGGCCTTGAGTTGCCTGTTGTATACAGTGTGGATTTAGTTCCTCAAAACGTAAATACAGAGTAGCGATGAAGTGATTCATCTCGCCTCAGAGTCAAGAGCCTCTAGGGCTGTGATGACGAAAACTTAACCTACACATTTGTTTCCATTTAAGGTTGGTGTGGTCATACAAATGAAAATAGGACTCACACAGACATACATGCCCACATAGATGTAAGTGGAGGATGATTTTTGTAACACATTCTGCTGCTTGAGTGATGTGTTCAGCGAAGGTGCCACAGCCACATTTACCACAACTGCTGTTTTGAAGTTTGCCCCTTGTGCGAGTGCCTCAGTTTGACATACTGTCTCGCAGTATTCGAGATGCTGTCTGGGCACTGAGCCCTATAGCAATTATTATAAACCAGGAGAAAGGACAGATCTTCTGAATCAACTGTAATCTGTATTAATGGGTATCTGCATTAGAATTTGTCAGCAGGAGGCTGAAGTTAGGTACCAGATGCTTCTTGCTTCATTTGCATTTGTAGTAAAAGTTTTGCTGATCAGTAATGTCTGAATGACTCTAAACGGTCTTTGTGGACAGCAAGAGAAACATATTGATGACTGCACATGAAACAGCAAGTTTTGGTATACATAGACTCTTTATTTACCCTGAAGGAAATTTACATCCATTATCCAGATATCCACCAGCTACAGTGGCAGCCACTAGAGATTTTAATGCTCCAATAATGCTCTGTGGCATGTTGTCACACTGCTGAAGTCTGTCTAAGTTAAGGTTTAGCAGAAAATTGCAATCTATACTTTTTATACTCAGGAATTGTCCCTCACTTCTGGTTGATTTTATTTCACTGTTAGAAACGTAAGGTTGATTTATCACCTTCAGAAATATTCCAGGGGTGTTTCTCTCAGATGGAGCTGAAGATGGAGCTCTGCTTGGCCCTTGTGTGATCAATGATCTCTCTCACTTAAAGAAATAGACACAGTAAAATCGTAATACATGAAGTGACTCCTCCTGTTTCTTGGGAATTCAAGTTTCTGTTGATCTGTGTTTTGCTATCATTTTACATTGACAACACCCTTCTGAGTGTCTCTTCTACACAGTCATCACATTGTATTAACTGGTCACATGGGTTGGGTAGTGACTTGCTGCACAGTCGGGTACGGCTTTTCAGGTGACATTCTCTGCAGAATAGCTAAAATGCTTTGCGGGAAAATGCCACTCCAGTTCGTCATCATTATAAGTTGTTCTCCGAAAATGTCTGACAGAATTGTTTCAACACCTAAACAAAGTGGCACCTTATTAGTATGGCAGGCCCATGATACACAAGGCAGACTCACAGTCGGTCAGCCGACAAGTTATTGAGGCAGTAAAATCAGCAGTGGAAGTGTGGGGGTGTTGCACAGCACAGGCCAACTGTCAGCCAAAAAAAGGTTTCAGAGAAAGTCTGTAACTGAGCTCCAAGAGGAGCAGTGTCATACTGGGCTGTGTGCTGAAGGTTGTTGTTGCAGACTTTTGTTAAATTTGATTGCAAATAATTTATATTATGTTTGTCCATTGTGTTATGTTGTAATGCAAAAACGACATTCTCATTATAAAGTAGTGTTTCCAGTTAATACTTGTACAGCTGCTGTTATTGTGTATATATTTATTTATATTTCTTCATACATTCTTATATAGTTCTATATTGTGTATTGTGTATTTTGTTGTAGAGTTATTTTATTTTCAACTTTAATTTATATATTTTATCTTATTCTTTCCCAGTTAAATTTACCCTTCATTCTAATTTGTGTTGTACAGTTATTTCATTTTTAACCTTAATTTATATTTTATTCCTTCCTAGTTAAATTCACCCTTTTTAATTTTTCATATTTATTTCCTATCTTATTCATAGCCTTTTCCTTTTTTGTTCTCTTTAGGTCACGAGCAGTTGTCTAAGCATTTCACTGCATATCGTACTGTGTATGACTGTGTACGTGACAAATAAAATTTGAATTTGATTTATTTTAGTGAATGGTCAAGACTAAACATTATTTCAATGTTGTATTTGTTGGAGGGCTTTGATGTCTACATGCTCTCAGAATATGTTTAAATTATGAATATGAAAAGTCCTGCGTTGAACCTAATTTCATGTTTAAGAAAGTGTCCGACATAATTCTTTGGATGCTGCAAACTGAGCGTGCAGCTTTTAGCCTTACACGCTCAAGTGCTTTACAAACTATTTAGGAAGCTAGCTATCAGTTAGCTTAGCACAAACACTGGAAATATTTGGACTCATGGTTTGCTTAGTTTTTACTGTTGAGTTCACTGACACTGAAGCGTGTGCACTCTTGCTGCTAGAGGTTGACTTGTAGCCCATTTGACAATCATTAGCTGTAAAGCAAAATGCCAATTGTGTGACTTTGAAGCCCGTGAAGCCATTAACAAGTGTTTCTTTGTGGAGCTGGCATGCTTTCCCTGTGCCTGTGGGGGTTTTCTCTGGGCCTTCTTCCTACACACCAAACACATACATGCTAGGTTTTTGATTCTAAATTGACCATGGATGTGGAGTAGACAAAGTGCTTGGAAGTATACAAAATACAGCTCTTTATGAAGGTATGGTCAAATGTGGTCGAGGACTAAAGCACTTTGAGAGGTTGGTGCAACTGGGGGGAAATGGATGTTTTTAAACACAAGAACATTTATATCTGTTTCAGTTTTTACAGGCTTTTAATCCTGCTGTCCTAGCACCTCATCAGGTCATTGTGCTGTGAAAATTGGATTACAAGCTTGAAACATAATCACGTTTACTTCTTATTCTTGTTAAATTTCAGTGTACTAAATATGTACAAGTATACCAAAATGAATAAAAATGAGTGCAGCATTAAATATGGCAGTTTATAAGGAATGTAGATAATCAGGAGTCTTTAACTACCAAACAACTGTTTAAAAAAATAGACACTGAGGCAAAATGAAGTGTAAGCAAGTGTTGCTGCTTGTTTGTACCTTTGTGGACCTGGTTAGTCCTGTTGATAAGGAGTGGTGTTTCTCACTCATACATCTTTCTCTTGTGCTTTCTAGTCAGGTTTCGGCTGCCTAAAGGCCTAGTCTGAAGTTAAGGTGTGTGGGGGTGTGTGTCTGTGTGTGCGGATTTGTTGCAAGGGGGCTCCAAAAGAGGCGGTCCTGATGCTGCCTAACCTGTTTGCCTGCATTATAGGTATTCAACTGGCAGCTTCACCTCGTCCTGCCCACAGAGCAGCAGTGATACACTGAAGAGGAGACATCTGGCCCTAGGCTTTCCTAAGGAGACGGTGTCTTTGGCACACGGTAAGTCCATCAAATCTCAGTTTGGTTGTTATGGCACAATCTATGATTGGAATAAATTGGAGGAGATTTGATAAAAAAAAATACCTTAATGTTTATTCATTTCAAAATCTAAAAATTGCATTTCAGTAAAATGTACATTGTAGTTGGTATAGGTTCATCTCTGTACTTCACATCAGTTACATTTGTTTCATTCGAGTACTGAGACTGACCCCCGTCCTCTCACAGACTTGGGTGGAAAGTCTGAATTAATACTGAAGCCATTTAAGGATGAGGCGTTTGCTTATGTTTTGCCTCTGGTGTCATTGATTTTTTTTTAAATTGTTGTACTTGTATGTCAGCACCAAACTGCAGAGTTTGTCTAGCGTAAAGATTTTAAAACAGGTTGACCACAACTGTGGGCATGCCAGACTCTGCTGTCACTGGCTCACACCCTGTTTGATTGAAGTTGTTTCTCAAAACGTTGCCACCCTGGATACACCTATTAACGGCAATGCAATTAGTTTTTAAGAAGTGTCTTGTGACTTCACTGCCTTTCCTGTTTGTTGCTCATCGCTGGTTTGGGGAACCATAAGGTAGAGCCTAAAACCACTGCCCAGTTTCCTTGCAAGTCAAGAATGCCTGAAACAGCATCGTTGAGCATATAACTACAGTTTTCTGAGCTCTCACTGAAGAATTAGATTTATCTACTGTCATCTGGTTATTACCTGGTTAGTAGTTTCTATATTTAAAGAAAGAGAACTCCTGGGATGGACTGTGTTATTATCAGTGGGTGTTGGCCAATAATAATCAATTAGCAGTTAGTTTTGTAAGTATTGTTTTGTTTTTTTTCATAAGTCCTGTTTGTTTCAATTTGAGTGACTGTTTTTACCACATCTGATTTCTTTTTGAGTTGAATTTAAAAGCATGTGTTGACGATCGTCTGACTCTTAGCTCTGCTGGACAGTATAAACCTGATGAAGCAGACGCTCTTGAGTTTAGGGTTTTTATCACAGCATGTCTAAAACCTGCTCCCTCATTTCTATTCGACACTGCTGCAAGTGAATTACGTTAGTGTTTATATGCGAATGTGTTGAGGTGTGGTCGAATCCAGTGTGTGTCAGTCAGAATGCATCCAAACCAACTGGTTTAGATGCCTACATACACCTTAACAAACCTGGCAAAGGCTTTAGATTCCTGAAGTGTGAGACAATGTGGTTTGTGGGCGTCAGAGTTTCTCTGTCAGTTCAGAATCAGGAAAAAATAAATAAAAGTACCAGCTCTTCTTTAAAGAAACAAAACGCGTTTCACTTGTGTGTCTTCATGTGGATAGTATTATCAGGTATTACAAAAATGTTATTGCACGGGTAGAAACAGTGACACACTATTTTTTAGCTGCACCTACAGTATACCTAAACCAGTGTTTTTATTAATAAGCTGAAAGCTGCATGTTGCTGCATTGTTTGTGATGAGAGATCAGAAAGAGTACAGCTTTTAGAAAAAATAAAATGATCTGATTTTACTTTTACCTACAAAAACGACATTCAGCATTGCTTCCCTGCATCTTACTTAGTCGGTGTCAGCTTTAAGTAAAAGCTCCCTCTGCTTTCTTTTGTGTTTCACAGATAATATTGCTGTAGTTCCCACATTCGCTTGAATTGTCATATGAATTCTGTGATGTGGATGTGCATGTAATAGAAATAATGGTAAGTATAACAATGTTAGACATACAGTGGCTGACAATCATACACAAAAATGTAAACATTGCCTGATGTAAAAATCTCACACTGTGTATTCTAACCACTGTCAAAGGACCAGGACAGCAAGAGTGCAAGCTTCTCAGAAAGCCTCGTGCTGGATAACGCTGAGAAAGGAGTTGTTGTTGCAGGAATCAAAGACAACACAATCTCTCCAAAAAGTGGTAAGATAAACATTTCAGATTCATTTTTGTTAGTTTTGAAAATTCAATAAGCACTAATAGAAAAAAAGAATGTGACATTATTTCTGCTCCTTTCAGGAGAAAGGTTTGTTGCAGCAACAATACAACTTGGTAAACTTGAGAAAAACGATGTGGAGAAAATCTTGAAGGTGCTGGAGCCGTACGAAAGCAACATAAATCTTCTGACAGAGAAGGACTTGAACCCCGGTGTTGACCTTGGCTCTTTGGGAGTAGGTCTCAAAGATTCGGCAGCGGTAAGCATCAAGCTGTGGGGAACATTTGGTTTATGTTATTATAGGAAACACCATAAAATCTGTTTTTATTTATACATTTTTAAACCTTTTTGTGTATGAGAACTGTTGAAATATTGACTTTCAGTATTTCAATAAACTGTCAAATCACAATATATCTGAAAAGATATCCAGTTAGACATTAAATCCTTTTTCTAAAAACTGCATATGTGAAGCCTAAATCCCCTACGTAAAAATCTTTTTCTCGAATCTGTTACCAAAATTAAGCAATAGTAAGCATATCAGTGCTTTCTAAGAAGACGGGTCAGTTTGCTTATTTCAACATACAATATATATATTTTACTGATGCAAGTGACCTAATGTATGGGGACGTTTTGTGAGGTGGTGGTGATTTACTTAATCTAGTCCATCCTATTCGTCCATGACATCTTCTATTTCCCATTTCTACCCCCACCTTGCTGCAGTGCAGATGAACTGGACATGATTTGTGCTGCTCAGAATACAATTTTGGTTAATAGTCATAAAGTTAGTGCTTTAATTTTGTTTTTTTTAATTACCAACAGATATTACAGAAGGATCTATCGCTGGATGCATCAGCTCAGGGACCAACCGTTTCCCTTGATGGCCTGAATGGAAAGCTTAATGATGCACAAGGTTGGGGTAAAAATAAGTGAACCGACTCTTAATGGAGACCTTCCCAGTCTTAGCCTAAATAAGCCATCAACTGCTGCTGGTGCCACATTTAAAATGCCCTCCGCAGGGCTTACAATGCCAGACATAAAATCAGATTCAAGTGGAACCCTAGAAGTACCTGATATCAGTGTCTCAGCTCCCAATCTTAACACTCCCATTGCAACACTAGACATCAACAAACCAGAAGTCGAAGGCAAAATGAAACACAAGGCCCCGAAATTCACAATGCCACACTTCAATCTACCTGATCTTGATGCACCAAAAGCAGACATTGATGTCTCTGGTGATCCAGGTCTTCCTTCAGTCAGTGGAAGTATGGAGAGACCAGACCTCAACCTGTCAGCTCCAAAGTTAGATTTGAAAAGTAATGATTTGGAGCTGAATGGGCCAAAAGTGGATTTGAATAGTCCTGATGTAAATGTAAAGGCCCAGATGCTAATATTGAGGCACCCTCAGGGAAAATCAAGTGGCCCCATCTAAAATGGAAAAGTCAAAAACTCAAAGGACCAGATGCTGACCTGTCCACACCTAATGCCAGCATTTCCACACCAAAGATTGATGGTGATCTAAGTACCCCAGATGTGAATGTTGGCTCAGCTCAAGCTGATATTAAAGGCCCTGATCTAGATGTTCAAACCCCAGATCTTAACGTTGATGCCCCTTCTGGTAAGATCAACTGGCCTCACCTGAAATGGAAGAAGCCCAAACTTGAAGGATCAAAAGCAGACTTGGACATGGATGCAGACCTAAAGAAACCTGATTTAAGTCTTTCAGCTCCAAAGATTGAGGGTGACATTAATGTACCAAATGCTGAGCTGAGTCTTCCAGAAACAGAGCTAAAGGCCCCGGGTGTAGATGTTCATGCCCCAGACGCTGACATTGATGCTCCTTCAGGAAAAATTAACTGGCCTCATCTAAAGTGGAAAAAATCCAAACTTAATGGGCCAAAAGCTGATATGGACCTCAATGCAGATTTAAGCCCACCAGATGCTTCAGTTCCAAAAATTGATGGGGAGATTAGTACACCTGACGTGAGCCTCAATTTACCCAAAGCTGACGTTGATATCAAAGCACCAGATGCTGACATAAATCCACCGTCTGGCAAAATCAAGTTCCCAACACTGAGAAAACCTAAATTCTTGGTTTCTGGGCCAAAGGTGAAAGCTCCAGATGTTGATGTTGATGCTGATGTGAAAGCACCTGACCTCAGTCTGTCTGCTGAAGCACCTGATGCTGATCTGAATTTACCAAAAGCTGACCTTGATATCAAAGCACCAGATGCTGACATAAACCCACCTTCTGGCAAAATCAAGTTCCCAACACTGAAAAAACCTAAATTCTTGGTTCTGGGCCAAAGGTGAAACCCCAGATGTTGATGCTGATGTGAAAGCACCTAACCTCAGTCTGTCTGCTGAAGCACCTGATGGTGATCTGAATTTACCAAAAGCCGATGTTGAAGCACCAAATGTAGACATTGAATCTCCATCTGGAAAGATCAAATTGCCCACTATGAAAAAGCCAAAATGGTCAATCTCGGGTCCTAAGGTTAATGGTCCAGATGTTAATGCTGATGTGAAGGCACCTGACCTCAGTCTGTCTGCTGAAGCACCTGACCTCAGTCTGTCTGCTGAAGCACTGATGCTGATCTGAATTTACCAAAAGCTGACCTTGATATCAAAGCACCAGATGCTGACATAAACCCACCTTCTGGCAAAATCAAGTTCCCTACACTGAAAACACCTAAATTCTTGGTTTCTGGGCCAAAGGTGAAAACCCCAGATGTTGATGCTGATGTGAAAGCACCTAACCTCAGTCTGTCTGCTGAAGCACCTGATGGTGATCTGAATTTACCAAAAGCCGATGTTGAAGCACCAAATGTAGACATTGAATCTCCATCTGGAAAGATCAAATTACCAACTATGAAAAAGCCAAAATGGTCAATCTCGGGTCCTAAGGTTAATGGTCCAGATGTTAATGCTGATGTGAAGGCACCTGACCTCAGTCTGTCTGCTGAAGCACCTGACCTCAGTCTGTCTGCTGAAGCACCTGATGCTGATCTGAATTTACCAAAAGCTGACCTTGATATCAAAGCACCAGATGCTGACATAAACCCACCTTCTGGCAAAATCAAGTTCCCAACACTGAAAAAACCTAAATTCTTGGTTTCTGGGCCAAAGGTGAAAACCCAGATGTTGATGCTGATGCTGATGTGAAAGCACCTGACCTCAGTCTGTCTGCTGAAGCACCTGATGGTGATCTGAATTTACCAAAAGCCGATGTTGAAGCACCAAATGTAGACATTGAATCTCCATCTGGAAAGATAAAGTTGCCCACTATGAAAAAGCCAAAATGGTCAATCTCGGGTCCTAAGGTTAATGGTCCAGATGTTGATGCTGATGTGAAAGCACCTGACCTCAGTCTGTCTGCTGAAGCACCTGATGCTGATCTGAACTTACCAAAAGCTGACCTTGATATCAAAGCACCAGATGCTGACATAAACCCACCGTCTGGCAAAATCAAGTTCCCTACACTGAAAACACCTAAATTCTTGGTTTCTGGGCCAAAGTTGAAAACCCCAGATGTTGATGCTGATGTGAAAGCACCTGACCTCAGTCTGTCTGCTGAAGCACCTGATGGTGATCTGAATTTACCAAAAGCCGATGTTGAAGCACCAAATGTAGACATTGAATCTCCATCTGGAAAGATCAAATTGCCCACTATGAAAAAGCCAAAATGGTCAATCTCGGGTCCTAAGGTTAATGGTCCAGATGTTGATTTAGATGCTGGTGTTTCAACCCCTGACTTGAATCTCTCAGCTCCAAATATGGATGGTGAGATAAATGCACCAGATGTGGATCTAAATTTACCAAAAGCTGAACTGGAAGCCCCCAAATTTGATGTAGAATCTCCAGATGTTGACATTGAAGCCCCATCTGGAAAATTCAAATGGTTCCAATTCAAGAAACCCAAATTTGGCACACTGAAAGGTCCAAAGGCTGATATTGACTCTAATGTGACGATACCAGAGGTGGACCTCAAAAGGCTGATGCAGAAATAAGTGCACCAGATGTTAATCTTTCTGCATCAAATATTGACGCCAATATCAGTGGCCCAGACCTTAACCTTGGTGGTCCAGATCTTGATGCACCTGATGCAAAGGTGAAGTTTCCCAAATTTAAATTTCCCAAACTCAAAGGATCACAAGTCCAGGGTCCCAGTGTGGATGCTGATTTAAAAACACCTCATATTGATGCAAGTCTTGATACACCAAAAGCTGAAGTGAATGCACCTAGTGCAAACCTCAGAGCGGAACCTCTCTCCTTGTCTGCACCAAAAGTTAATGGTGGTCTTGATGCGCCAGATCTTGACGTAAATTTACCGAAAGCTGATCTAAAAGGCCCCAGTGTAGACATTCAAGCTCCAGAGGCTGATGCCCATGCAGGAAAAATCAAGCTTCCCCAAATAAAATGGCCAAAGTTTGGCACATCGGCGCCAAAAGTGAAAGGACCAAATCTTGATGTTGATGCTGATCTACAACGTCCAGATCTAGGTCTGTCTGTTCCTGATGTAAATGCAAAGTTACCCAGTGCAGACTTGACAGCACCCAATGTTGAACTAAAAGCATCAGACTTGAGTCTCTCAGCCCCCAAACTTGAGGGAGACATTGGTACTCCAGGCATTGATGCTGGTCTTAAAACTGGTATTGATCTTTCTGCACCAAAAGTTAATGGTGGTCTTGATGCGCCAGATCTTGACGTAAATTTACCGAAAGCTGATCTAAAAGGCCCCAGTGTAGACATTCAAGCTCCAGAGGCTGATGCCCATGCAGGAAAAATCAAGCTTCCCCAAATAAAATGGCCAAAGTTTGGCACATCGGCGCCAAAGTGAAAGGACCAAATCTTGATGTTGATGCTGATCTACAACGTCCAGATCTAGGTCTGTCTGTTCCTGATGTAAATGCAAAGTTACCCAGTGCAGACTTGACAGCACCCAATGTTGAACTAAAAGCATCAGACTTGAGTCTCTCAGCCCCCAAACTTGAGGGAGACATTGGTACTCCAGGCATTGATGCTGGTCTCAAAACTGGCATTGATCCCAACGTGAATGTTGGTTTGCCTGAAACTGATATCAAGGCACCCAGTCTACATCTGCCAAAAGCTGACCTCCAGTCATCTGATCTCAGCTTGAAAACACCAAATGTCAACCTTTATCCACCCAAAATTGGTGGTAGTCTCTCAGCACCAAACATAGACACGAGTATGCCAAAAATTGAAGTAGAAGCACCCGATGCCAATGTGAAATCTCCAGGTTTGGATGTCAACCTGCCAGAAGCAGACCTCAAAGATTCCAATATCCACTTGAAAACTCCAGATCTGGATTTGAATACCCACCTTGGTGACTTTAAAATGCCACATTACAATCATCCAAAACTTGATCTTTCAAGTCCTGAAGTAGAAGCTCCCAGTATTAATCCCACAGTTGAGGCTGGAATTAAGGTACCTGGAGTCAGCACAGATATGCCTACAACAGATGCACACATCTCTGTTCCTGCAGTAGATTTGAATGCACCAAATGTAGGTGATATTAAAGGACCTGATGTAGATGTGAAAGCTCCAGATGTAGATGCAAGTCTTGAGAAGCCCAAGATGCCACATTTCAAGATCCCAAAGTTTAGTCTTTTTGGATCTAAAGCAAAATCTCCTGAGACTAATGCCAGTGCAGATCTTGAGGGGAGTGGCTCTGACTCTGATGTGGTGGAGGTGGAGGTTCCTGTATTCAAGTTCCACAGACTGCCCCAAATCAACATTGATGGCATTGGAGGAATTACTGAAGCACTGAGCTCAATAAAATCTGACTTGGAGGAGAAGGATTTGTTTTCAGTAAAGGAATCCGCTTGCCAGTAGTGAATGCAACAGCAAAAGGAGGAGAAAGATTGACATTTTGGAGAGATTGAAAATCGCAAGAGAAAAGGCGTCCTCAGTGAATGTGTCGCCAACAGAAGAGAAAACTGATATTGACCTACAACACACTGGCGCAGGTCTTGATGCTAATACATCTACAGGTGCAGGAGATGCGTCTTTGGTCAGAGGAGGCACTTTCAAAGTAGACAAACCAGAGTCTACGCTGGGGCTGACCGTACCTGATATTTCTACATCAGATGAAAATGACAAATATTCACTGAGCCTTTCTAATATGCTTGGCCTTAATGTCAAGGATTCTGATGCCAACTGATCGTTCAAAGGTTGGCCTGATAAATGAAGCTCCAGTCCATAAATGTATGAATACATGCAGCGTAACTGATTTTCATGTTTTAGTTTGTGACATAAGAGAGACTAGCTGTAACTAATCCATCCATCTTGTTGTAGTTTTAATAATAATTAGCATAATAGAGTTCAGTTGTTGATACAATCTATGTATATTTCCTGTTATTTATAAGCTTTTCTAAATGTTAATTTGAAATTACTTTACTTTCAGTATTGCTTGTGATCACCATAAACTTTGTCTAGCAAGTGCTTTACTAAATATTTTAAAGGATAAATGAATTGTGTGAATGTGTTACTCTTCGTTCAATAAATCATTACAATGTCCAAAATAAAAATGTCCAGTAATTAAAGCCAGAGATGGTCTGTAATTGTTGAAACATCCCTCCATACAAGTGATTTAACCCACGGTCCATTCCTTCATACCACTTGATATGATGAGTATAAAATTCTAACAACCTCATTACATTACATATAGGTAAATACAATGATTACTAAAATATGTGATACTCATGGACTTGAGGCTCTTGTATCAGGTTATGGAACACACCTTTGAGATTGTTCTGATATTGCAATTCAATATTTGAAAACAAAAACATTGACAAGTTTTTTTTTTTTTACATGTTTATTTCATACTGATAAAACAAAAGCTCTTAAAAATACTTTGCATGCTTTTTAGTTTACAGGTTATTTTCTTTGGGTAATTTTACAAAAGGTGTTTGACTCCAATAAACTAATGTTTATAACATGGCTCTACTTTCAGCTTTATGCTAATGTTTAGTATTCAAAAAGTTATGAAGGGGATCCTGTTAACATGGGCTCATGTTCCCCCCCCCCCCCCAAAACCCCAAATAGTAACCCACACCAATAGAAAATCCTATTTGGGGGGTGGGGGTATTCTTTGCACCTAGAGCCATGCTAGTGTTTCTGAAATCAGGATTTCCCTTTTTCATATTTAGCCGAACAGAAAAACGGAGACAGTGAAGGTTGACAGGAATGAGTACTTTTGTAATGGGGTGGGAAACATTTCCCTTAAGAACTCAGGAAACCATCAGATGTATGGATACACTGTCTCAGAACTAAGTGTGAAATTAATCTCTTCTACCGCAGCGGTCCACGGCCCGGTACCGGGCCGTGAGAGTTGAGGCTCGGGTGTGAAATTTGTGTTTTTCAGGGTTGTTATCGTGAACTCTGTTTCCCTGGGTCTTTCCCGTGTTGTAGTTCTGCGTCTTCTTTTGAAAGAAATATTTACGCGTGTCCATAGCAACCAGAGGGGATTAAGGAGGACGTTACTGTCAATGTTGTTGGTGTATTTCAGGAGGACGCTGCTAATAAAGTTACACAGTTACACAGTGAATTTGCGTTTATTATTATATTTACAAAACACCAGCGTTTGTGTCTCGGTCGGATCATTGAATTTTGTTGTATTTATCCGCCACACCTCAAAGTCGTAAAAACATTGTCTGACATTAAACCGTCCGTGGAGCAAAAAAGGTTGGGGACCGCTGTGTTAATGAACAAGTCAGTGGAATCACTATGTCTAAACTGTCCCATTACGGTGAAGCTATTTCAGTGTCCAACTCCAGTGTTTTGTCCTTTAACTTCTGTTCTTGTTGAGTTGCACTGCACAGTGACATCTTTCTGCCTCTGCCCAGGTATTATGAAAATCTCTAAACAGCCTTTGAAACACAGAAAGTAAGAAAATGAAATTTGCAGCATTGACATCAACATCGTTGCTTGAATTTGAATAATCCAACTCCATCTGATTTAGTTAATGTCAATCTTTAACACTGCTCCGAAGACTCAGAATCTGCGGCAGGTGTGCCAACGTCAGGTCACAAGAAAGAAATATACTGGTGATCTGCATGCACCGATCAGATCTGTGACTTTGCATTGTATTCACTATATCCAGAACAGCGTGAGGTCAGTACTGTGCAATATTCTCTACAGACAGGTTCGACAGCATTGTTTTATCCATTTCACAAGCTCATTTACTAAAGATACAAAAAACTGGTAGCATGTATCAAAGCTTATGAAAATTAGGAAATCAAGTACAACCCTGAAAGATTAAGAGTCAAATTGATTGTGTGTGTTGCCAGCGCGACGGCCAATCCTTCTCTATCCAGCTCTGCAGCAGTCGCAGCACATCAATGCGCTGATAGATGCGGCAAAGTTCAGTGAGCTCAGTGACCGTCTTCTGGTTGTAGCGTAACAGGAACTCCTGGGTGGGGCTGTGGGACAAGGAACCCTGGGTCCGATGCTCCAGCAGGGTCAGTTCGTCATAGCTCATCCCCCAACGACTCGCAAAGTTTTTCCAGTTTTTGATGGTGCAGTGGTTTGGATCCAATTTGAGCCGCAGCAAGTCCAGCAGATCTTTGTCGTTCATGAGGTCGCTGATTTTGGGAGGGGGTGCCGGGCAGAAGCACTTCTCGCAGGGGTTCGTTAAAAACTGTAGTTCTTTGGGATAGTCTGAACTCAGAGATGGACAAGAAAAGATTGAGTTAGCTCAAGCACATTACCAAATAACTATCTGCTATCTGCTAACGACAATTTGCTAACAACTATTTAGCTTGTCAGTGTTTTCTGTTACGATGAAAAACAAACGCACATTTAACATGGAAAAGGTTTCAACACATCCAAGAAATCCCTTTGAGGCAAAAAGCTTATCAAACTGCTTTAGTCTGGGTGGCTGTAGCTCAGGAGGTAGAGCAGGTCACCTTCTCATTGGAAGGTTGGTCTGCTCCAGTCTGCACGCCAGATATCCAAGATACCAACCCCACTGTTAGAAAGCTTTTAAGCATGGAACAAAGTGCTTGTATGAATGGGTGAATGAAGCATGTTATGTAGAGTAAAAAAAACAAACCCGCTATGTTCAACAGTTTAGTCAACAGCTCTGCTCAAAGCACGAGAAGCCTTTGTTGTTTACAGCCCATCAGAATAAAAGTGTCACAAAAGGAGAGCGAAGCGTGTTGCAAAGGGCTCTGGACTATTCCAGTTTTCATTGGTGAAAGGCAGGAGTGCAACCATTCACACTTAAATGTCTTTGGACTATGGGAGGAAGCTGGAATAACCAGAGAGCACCCACTGGTGTACGCGAGTCCACAATGAAAGGACTCAAATCCAGAACCTTCCTGCTGTGAGTGAACGGGGCTAAACACTGCACCGCTGTGTCATCCCAAGCTTTCTGAACTCAATGATGCAAAGCTCAAGCAGAGTGAAAGAAATGAGCATGAAGCTGAAAGCAGCAGAACAGGTCCTCTTTAATAATTTAGTCACGTATTCTTCTAGTTGTGTTGAGTACAACACAGTGCCCATCGTGAAGATTGTGGTGTGTTCGAACTCCTCTCCCAAAGTGTAACCATCATATGATTATTACTGTCAAATTTAAATCAAAGAGTAAAACTGCTGTTAGTCTGATAAGCGGTGTTTCAGTTCCTTCTGATATTTTCATTTAAAGGTTCAGCACGAGTAACTGACCTACCTGGTGAAGAAGAAGTGGGGCAAGTGCATTCTTCCACATCTTCCACTGGCTGCACACAGAGAAGCAAAGAATGAATGGTAGGCACATGCTACTGTGGACTGGTCATTTTCCCCCCGGACTACAAACATTGCTGAGGGTATGTGAAAATGAGCGCTGCAAAGAACAACTTTACATTCACTATTCTGCTAAATCCAAATATGTCTGTGCATGATGGGATTGCTGGGTGTCTCAGCAGGGCAGCCCGTACACCCAGTACTTCCATTCTGTGTCATTTTGCAGGTGCTGGTGTTAATATTTGTAAAGGAATATACACCTTTTAGCAAATACTACCATTAACTCAAGGTGGAGACATTGTTTTTGAGTGTTGTTTGGAGTGGTCGGTCGCAACCAAATATCATCAATGACCTTTTCATGAGTCGTGGAAAACATACGCAGCAAAGTAGTGAGGATATATTTTACGGAGGACAGTTATTAAAGCAACCCTTTATACTTAAAAATTATAAAGCTCATTCAAGCTGCTGTACTTTGCTGCAGAGCCGCTGCAGTAAAAGACAAAACATTTGCTACACACGGGCATGAGGCAGAGTTTTTACATTTCTCCTGCTGATGCCTCACATCCACTTTTGTGTTGGCCTCAGTGCTACTGCATCCTGAACTGCAGGAAGTCTATACATGTGCTGTCAAAGCCATGAAAATGAGAAAGCAGTATATGCCCATACTTGCAAACTCTAATTACTGCATTAGTGGAGTGAGTAAGAAAGACAGAATTACAGCTTAATAGATTTCATTTGATCTTTTTGGTGTTAAAAATACTGCAGTGCATGTACCAAACACAAGTTCTGATGGCCGTGATGTGCAGTTTGGTAAAGTGCCCCGTGTGGAGCGACGTTGTAGATTGCAGCACTATAGCTAGCAACTCTAACTCTATGTACATATTTAGCAGGTATATTCCTCAACTGGATTGTGGATACTAGCATGCTGTGGATGAAGACAATATGGACCATTAATCCTCACCATGTCCCGGTGTCATAAGAGAAAGGATTATGACCATTCCTGGGACTGAGGCAACCATGGAAACAATTTAAATCGTTAACAATGTGAAACGTTTACATTCCCTACAATCGTCATGGCTGTAACGCTTCACAATGCTTGTACGCTGAGAAAAAGCCATTTGTTTGATGCTGTGGTAAATTTACTGCCTTCAGTAGTCGCTGCAGTTCGGTTAGAGCAGGTTCAGGTTTCACTCGGCTGCAAATGTAGATCAGAGGTTTAGATGTGATGCTTTTTCCTGGCTGGTGCTAATAAAACATGTCTCAACAGAAGCCATGTTGCACAGTACATCAAGGTCGAGCAGAGAGTTGAGACGCTGTGCTGGAGGGGTGTGAATATTTCACCAGTGGAGAGACTGGAATAGACTGGAATGGGTCAAATCTTCTGTCCCCTTTAAGCTCGCTACCGACAGCAGCAGCACTGTTTCCGAGAGCGCCCTGAAATGGAGTCATGTGAGCGCTCTTCCTACTGTGCTCGGTCTCTGTTATTAGCAAAGTTCACAGCTGCACCTTCAGTGAGACCAAACCACATCCTGTATAATCACAGCTTAAAATAAAAGGTTCTCACAGACTATGCTCTGTGTCTTTAGATCTGGTGAATAATGTTTGGTTGTTGGCAGTCGTATTTCAGAGGATCCCCACCCATTGGTGCTAACCAGTGCATTGCCACGCTGCCACTGTGTTCTCTTCAAGCACAACAGGGAACAAAGGGAGAGATCCAGGTTTGTAGACTGGAAGGACACCACAGCTGACGGTGTGTCCTCCCTGTTATAATCTGTTTTTGTGCTGATATGTGGCCATAGGAAACGTTTTGTTATTAACTGCACGGGCCACACAGTTGTGCCAAATCAGGATAACCAATCACTTTCTGTAAGAAGCAAAGCATCAGTTTTTAATAAAGAGTGTCTAACAGTACAGTGCACGTCATGCTTTACTCTGTTCCTATGGACTTGTTACCTGTGAAAGGCATGTAGGGAATAAAACAGCTGTGGTTTTCATACAGGGAGTGCAGAATTATTAGGCAACTGAGTATTTTGTCCACATCATCCTCTTCATGCATGTTGTCTTACTCCAAGCTGTATAGGCTCGAAAGCCTACTACCAATTAAGCATATTAGGTGATGTGCATCTCTGTAATGAGAAGGGGTGTGGTCTAATGACATCAACACCCTATATCAGGTGTGCATAATTATTAGGCAACGTCCTTTCCTTTGGCAAAATGGGTCAAAAGAAGGACTTGACAGGCTCAGAAAAGTCAAAAATAGTGAGATATCTTGCAGAGGGATGCAGCAGTCTCAAAATTGCAAAGCTTCTGAAGCGTGATCATCGACCAATCAAGCGTTTCATTCAAAATAGTCAACAGGGTCGCAAGAAGCGTGTGGAAAAACCAAGGCGCCAAATAACTGCCCATGAACTGAGAAAAGTCAAGCGTGCAGCTGCCAAGATGCCACTTGCCACCAGTTTGGCCATATTTCAGAGCTGCAACATCACTGGAGTGCCCAAAAGCACAAGGTGTGCAATACTCAGAGACATGGCCAAGGTAAGAAAGGCTGAAAGACGACCACCACTGAACAAGACACACAAGCTGAAACGTCAAGACTGGGCCAAGAAATATCTCAAGACTGGTTTTTCTAAGGTTTTATGGACTGATGAAATGAGAGTGAGTCTTGATGGGCCAGATGGATGGGCCCGTGGCTGGATTGGTAAAGGGCAGAGAGCTCCAGTCCCACTCAGACGCCAGCAAGGTGGAGGTGGAGTCCTGGTTTGGGCTGGTATCATCAAAGATGAGCTTGTGGGGCCTTTTCGGGTTGAGGATGAAGTCAAGCTCAACTCCCAGTCCTACTGCCAGTTTCTGGAAGACACCTTCTTCAAGAAAAACATGATTTTCATGCAGGACAATGCTCCATCACACGCGTCCAAGTACTCCACAGCGTGGCTGGCAAGAAAGGGTATAAAAGAAGTTAAACTAATGACATGGCCTCCTTGTTCACCTGATCGGAACCCCATTGAGAACCTGTGGTCCATCATCAAATGTGAGATTTACAAGGAGGGAAAACAGTACACCTCTCTGAACAGTGTCTGGGAGGCTGTGGTTGCTGCTGCACGCAATGTTGATGGTGAACAGATCAAAACACTGACAGGATCCATGGATGGCAGGCTTTTGAGTGTCCTTGCAAAGAAAGGTGGCTATATTGGTCGCTGATTTGTTTTTGTTTTGTTTTTGAATGTCAGAAATGTATATTTGTGAATGTGGAGATGTTATATTGGTGTCACTGGTAAAAATAAGTAATTGAAATGGGTATATATTTGTTTTTTGTTAAGTTGCCTAATAATTATGCACAGTAATAGTCACCTGCACACACAGATATCCCCCTAAAATAGCTAAAACTAAAAACAAACTAAAAACTACTTCCAAAAACATTCAGCTTTGATATTAATGAGTTTTTTGGGTTCATTGAGAACATGGTTGTTGTTCAATAATAAAATTATTCCTCAAAAATACAACTTGCCTAATAATTCTGCACTCCCTGTAGTTAGTGAGCGCTGCACTAGAAACATGAGCAATTCAATTACTGCTCACAAACTGATTTTATATTACAGGCCACATACAGCTTGATTTGATCTAGTGTGGACCAGAGAAACAACGGCTCACACACACATCTGTATATGAGACAAAGAAGCACCGTTTCAACTAGAGATGGCACGATACCACTTTTTTATGTCCGATACCGATACCGATATCATAAATTTGGATATCTGCCGATACCGATATGAATCCGATATAGTGTTTTTTAATCAACAAAACTGTTTTTTAAATATCTTGCTGCATTTTGTATAAGTTCATACTCAAGTTTAAAACAACAACTACACTAAAGCTATTCTGTTATACCTATATGCAAAAAAAAAAAAAAATTTCATAGTTCAGCAATACTGATCAATCTAATAAACTTAAACCTACACCATCCTCCCTATTCTGGTATTTTAAAGAGTACTTAGTAGAGATGGACCGATCCGATATTACGTATCGGTATCGGTCCGATACTGACCTAAATTACTGGATCGGATATCGGAGAAAAATAAAAAATGTAATCTGATCCATTAAATATCACGAAAGCACCTCACAAACTTGCAACACGCCGTAACTCACCTCAGAACGTTAGCACGTCGGAGCAGTATGCATCACGTGATAGAGCGGCTGTGGCATGCGGGACCTGTCGGTGGTCTGGATAGCATGTGGAGCTTCGCTAGCAACCCGGCATTTCATCTCCGACAAAGTTATCCCGAGAGAAGTAAAGCAAGTGTGTAAGTCCATCTCTGAATGTTTGTAAAGCATTCCTGCGTTAAGCTTAACAAGCGATATATGGAGCGACTGCCTCTTCTTGCTGCTACTTCAATCATGAAACTGCTTAACGATCAGCTGATCGGCTTTTCTGTCGCTAGTCCGTGTCTCTAGTTTGCTTTTGGCCCACGTTGCACCAGAAAGAGGAAACCAGCGGCTGAACAACAGCAGAACGTTTAAGCTTGATCAGCTGTTGTTAGAATTTATTTATTATTACTTTCTACACCAGGATCTTTTTCTACGTAGCTGACGCTGGTAACTGTGCAGGGGCGGATCTAGCAAAGTTTAGCCAGGGGGGCCGATAGGGCATGAACAGGGAAAAGGGGGCACAAAGACATATTTTTCTTTCTTATTCTCATTTCAAATGTCGAGCTTTTAATAAATAATTATCTGACAGCCAAAGTTTTAATTTGATGCAAAATGTATAGAAGTCCATTACTGTATATAGTAACTATTAAGTCTAATATATATACCCTAGTAAGCTATAGTGCTTTTTGCTTTGGGAAGGTACCATCTGTGCAGTCTGCAATTTTGTTGAAGAAAGATGTTGAATCTATTTAATATTTCTTGAAAAATTATTGATTTCTGTGCATTTTTTTTCACACTGCATCAAATTAAGGTTGATTACGTCGATTAAGCATCATGAGGTGGAGTGTGAGGGGTGGTTCCCTATTTTTTATTTATTTATTTTTGTTGTTGCTGGGAGTTGGAACCCTATTAGTTAGGTTGCTTAATATTTACGCTAAGTACTCTTTAAAATACCAGAATAGGGAGGATGGTGTAGGTTGAAGTTTATTAGATTGATCAGTATTGCTGAACTATGAAATATTTTTTTTTTTTGCATACAGGTAAATGGTAAATGGTCTGCATTTGTATAGCGCTTTTCTAGTCCATAAGGACCCCAAAGCGCTTTACACTACATTCAGTCATTCACCCATTCACACACTCATTCACACACTGGCGATAGCAAGCTACATTGTAGCCACAGCTGCCCTGGGGCGCACTGACAGAGGCGAGGCTGCCGGACACAGGCGCCACCGGGCCCTCTGACCACCACCAGTAGGCAAACATGGGGTTGGTATCTTGCCCAAGGATATTTGGCATGCAGCCAGGATGCAGCCTGGGATCAAACCACCGACCTTCTGATTAGTGGCTGACCTGCTCTGCCACCTGAGCTACAGCCACCCCCCCTAAAGCTATAACAGAATAGCTTTAGTGTAGTTGTTGTTTTAAACTTGAGTATGAACTTATACAAAATGCAGCAAGATATTTAAAAAACAGTTTTGTTGATTAAAAACACTATATCGGATTCATATCGGTATCGGCAGATATCCAAATTTATGATATCGGTATCGGACATAAAAAAGTGGTATCGTGCCATCTCTAGTACTTAGCATAAATATTAAGCAACCTAACTAATAGGGTTCCAACTCCCAGCAACAACAAAAATAAATAAATAAAAAATAGGGAACCACCCCTCACGCTCCACCTCATGATGCTTAATCGACGTAATCAACCTTAATTTGATGCAGTGTGAAAAAAAAATGCACAGAAATCAATTATTTTTCAAGAAATATTAAATAGATTCAACATCTTTCTTCAACAAAATTGCAGACTGCACAGATGGTACCTTCCCAAAGGAAAAAGTACTATAGCTTACTAGGGTATATATATTAGACTTAATAGTCACTATGTACAGTAATTGACTTCTATTCATTTTACATCAAATTAAAACTTTGGGTGTAAGATAATTATTTATTAAAAGCTAGACATTTTAAATGAGAATAAGAAAGAAAAGTATGTCTTTGTGCCCCCTTTTCCCTGTTAATGCCCTATCGGCCCCCCTGGCTAAACTTTGCTAGATCCGCCCCTGTACAGTTACCAGCCGTCAGCTACGTAGAAAAAGATCCTGGTGTAGAAAGTAATATTAAATACATTCTAACAACAGCTGATCAAGCTTAAACGTGCTGCTGCTGTTCAGCCGCTGGTTTCCTCTTTCTGGTGCAAAGTGGGCCAAAAGCAAACTAGAGAGACGGACTCGCCACAGAAAAGCCGATCAGCTGATCGTTAAGCAGTTTCATGATTGAAGTAGCAGCAGGAGAGGCAGTCGTTTGTTAAGCTTAACGCAGGAATGCTTTACAAACATTCAGAGATGGACTTACACACTTGCTTTACTTCTCTCGGGATAACTTTGTCGGAGATGAAATGCCGGGTTGCTAGCGAAGCTCCACATGCTATCCAGACCACCGACAGATCCCGCATGCCACAGCCGCTCTATCACGTGATGCATACTGCTCCGACGTGCTAACGTTCTGAGGTGAGCTACGGTGTGTTGCAAGTTTGTGAGGTGCTTTCGTGATATTTAATGGATCGGATTACATTTTTTATTTTTCTCCGATATCCGATCCAGTAATTTAGGTCAGTATCGGACCGATACCGATACGTAATATCGGATCGGTCCATCTCTAGTTTCAACAGTACATCTGTTTTTCAACATGATAAAGAAATGCTGCTGTGGTAAGCACAATAAATGTTAAACTGTAAGAAATAATCTAGAATTTAAAGACATTCGTGCACTGCGAGTGGCTGTTGGGAGGTTTTTATTATATACAGTTTAAACATCCAGTGGGCCAGTTCTGGCCCCCGAGCCTTATGTTTGACACCCCTGATGTAGTATAGTATCCTAATGTAAACAGCCCATGGTTCACCCTGCTGTTACCAGGTGAAACAGACACGTTGAATCATTTTGTGTTCAGTGTTGTCGTGCCACGTGAAACGTACATGTGTTAAATGCATGTGGACCATAATGAATTGTTACCATTGTTGTGGCTAGCCTCCGTACCACATCTGTTGAACCCTGGCACTAAAAGTGTGTCACGTGCATCAGAGCTAGTAAGGCTGACCTGTCTTATTCTGTCTTCTGAGGAGGGACTCAGGTATCTCGAGGGCATCGAGCTGAGGTGCAGCGTCACAGCGTCTGCTGGAAACACATCACTACATGAGTGCGTTACAGTCAGAATGAATACATATACATGTGTACAATACAAATGCAGTTTTCAGTGAACAACACGATCAAACATCTTTCACAGTAACAGAAGAAAAGGTGCAAAAGCTCCGACTGTGGCCAGGTGCAAACCACCAGCCAGAAAGGAAGGCCACCACGTCGTCATTTACTCAGCATCACAGACACAGCTGCATCCAAAACGCCATCAGTACATCATCTCAGATCAGAGGTACTTTGAGTTGGTTGCTGTAAGAATGTGAAAATTTCAGCTCTAGCAGACTTTTGCTGCAGCTGCCTTCAGCTTTTGCTTGTTTGTCTTCTGACTCGAGTGGCGAGTGTAGCCAAACAGCAGCTTCTGCTGGGTGGACATCAGTCGACTGACTTTGACACTGAACAATATCCCGTTTCTTAAGCTGCTTTTGCAGTTAGGTCATATCCACTGGTACTGGAACACATCAGAGCTCATCCTGCAACTCCTACCAGTACTCGCATCACCACTAAACACGGGTTCCTACTGGTCTGGTTCCACTGGCACCACCACGTCGACTGATACTGTGGTGCTGCCCATCATTCTGATACCGGCCTTTTGACTGTACGTTTATCTTCGTAGCTTGTATAAACTGAACGTTTGAGACGTCCTACCAGACTGATGTCAGAATTGTTGGTAAAAATCTGTTAGGACAAAAAAATTCTAACATAGTGAATCAATGGAGCTCCCTCGTTTGAAAAGATCTTGCTTCTGTCTGCAGGTGACAAGGTCCCTTGTTTCTGCATTTAACCCAAACTTTGACTTTGTTAACAAGCAGACGGTGATGTAATGCTTAAAGCAGGCGGACAGACACACCAAGGTCGTTCAGAGCTTTACTAGAGTAGGTGAAAGTGTTTCTTACAAACCCAACAGCAACAGCATTAATTGATGTATTAGATGGCCAAAGCCATGCATTTGTACTGCCTGACTAACACCCAAGTTTCTCCGTTATCACGCATTATGTAAAACATTAGATCCAAGTTCTCGAAAAAACCAAAACATCTCAAATAAAATCTTTACTTCACATTTTTCTGAAAAATTAAAATGCAATTTAAGATAAATTGGTTAAATTTTCCATTTCTTAAAACTGACTTTTACATAAAATCCAATCCAGTTTGTAACTATTTTGATGACAGAATAAATATCCATAAATCCTTTATACAGCAGGCCAAAGCCCTCACTCACCATGGGGATCTGTTACTTGCACGGGATAATTGGCCTCCAAGGACTGTGGGACAGACAAACACAGACATGACGATATGAAAAGCAAACAGAACTGAAGACAGAAACCTGAGCAAGAAAAAGGTTGTCTACTTTGGAAGCTTCCTACTCTCTTTCTTCATGAGATAAAGACTGTAACTCAGGAAGAAAATTACTCTGGTGTGCAAAGACAGCCTGCTGCAACTTGTTCTTTGATGAGCCCTCGGGCGCTAGCAATCACAGCACACTGTGTTCAGTTATGGTACATTTCTTAGCAGATTACTGTAAGACTCTAAGGAAGAACAATGAGAAATCAGCACAAAACAAACTACATAGGAGACAAGTCAAGACAATGAGAGTGTTAAACACACGGCTGGAGAAGAGAATAATGAGGTTGCTCACAAATTCTGCCACAAAGCTGGTGGTGTCTGTGTCCTCCACAGGCTCAGAGCTGCTTCTGTCTGTTTCCGAAAAAAGGAAGAGGCTTTAATACAGTGAATGTTGATGTGGTCACCATTACTCATTTGATCTACTTCCTACTCCACAGAGACGGCCACAGTCAAGAGAAATGATTAGAAACGGTGACAGCTGTGCCGCGCTGGGCCGTGCCGGGCTGTACTGGGTAAAAGGTCATTTGAAAGAGTAAGAACAGGCTGCAACTACATTATAAGTAAAAAAGTGCAAAGTCTGAGTTTACATGTAGGTTTCCTAAACATAAGACAAAAGGTAAAGTCACCTGATAACAGTGCAAAACTCCTCTGAAACAATCTGGATATTGTTAGAGGACGACTCTGACCTCCAACAGCTCACAGAGCAGCACAAAGACGGCTTTTCAGCACCGCACTGCACTCAGGCCAAATACAGTCCTGAGCTGGTCTTTCTTGGGTTACAGCAGATAACTTACACGTGTACAAAAAACTAAACATGCAGAGCTACATAGTGTTTCAGTTTAAAGTCATAAGACATCCATGGAGCTCTCAGGACAACAAGAGTCAAGTAATGAAATATGTACGTTACACATTTCCACTCAAATGCCGGCGGATCAGGATGGAGACTTGCTTAAATATCAGGAGTCATCCTGGCAGTCGCTCAGATTTAAACCGTTTTTTAAAGAACTGTATTTAGTAATAACGATAATCATAAAATGCTCTGATGGTGGGTTTTTCTCAATGTCAGGTCATGGTCAAAAACATTTCCAAAATAAAAGCTGGGTTGACCAAAACAAATAAAACATTCTGTTTAGACAACAATGTCGAGGGGAAAAAGATGCACAGCCAAAATGACTCAACCTCACGACTTCCCACTCTGTCCTTTTCTCTTCCTACTCAGCTCCCTGATTAGACACCAACACATCGTTGCTGACATCAGGGCACACAGTTACAATGCTCTGACTAAATAAATGAAAAATGACTAACTATTTACTGACCAAATAAGTCGTCAAGTAAAACAAAGTCCAACAAATATTTATTGAATTCTTTTATTGTGATAAGATGCAGGCGTGTAAATGAAAGTTTCCCACAGTAGTGAAGCTCTTTGATGAAGGTTTATAAAGAAAAACAAAGCATTCACATGAATGTGTTACAGTTCTACAAAGACCAGCATAACCCAGAACAACCTGAATCCTTCGCTTAAATGTGGAATTCACAGTATTGGACATTTAGTTAATAAGATACATCCTGATGTTAAAGCACATATTTCTACACGTGCCTGTTCCACAGCCACGGTGTGTGTGTGTGTGTGTGTGTGTGTGTGTGTGTGTGTGTGTGTGAGAGATCATGCACATTACATGTGCCGTATTGCCCAGCCTTGTGTTATGACATTATCAGGAAATAATAATAATCATTTTAAAAACCCTAAAAATGGCGGTTTCCCCGACTGATCCGCTTCCTCTGCTGTAATGAAACTCTTTCAGGTTGAGCTTCAGTTTTGTATCTTTGCAGGTGTGGGAAACAGAAACGATGGCACAAACCAGAGAAACGCTGCCTTTCCTTTACGCTTGCTAAAAAGTCCTCTCTTGAATTTAATTATCTGTCTTCATCAAAAAGAACTTGATGATGACACCGAGCGCTCCACCATCAGCTGGTCAGTCAGTATATCATCTGCAGTGTTTCAAACAATTGACCTAATAGTCATTATTATCTTATTAAAGTTGAGAGCTCAGCTCACCATAAAGCACAGGCTTAACTCCAAGTGGTATTTGTCAGTGTATGACGCTGCACTTCCTGGATGTCACATGATTATATATACTTATTACGTATACACCTCAGGTCTTGCAGTGACTGTGGATTTCTTGTTGGAAAAATCAAACAGGGCAATGTTTGCTTAATGTCAGAAATTCTGATGTCACCTGATTACTGTAAAAACGTTTGTCTGTTGATGTGACTGGACTCCTAGCACCAAAGCTGGATGTGCTAATATGCATTTCCATAGCTAAATGAAAACAATTCAGTCATGGGACTTGCCGATGACTCCCTGAACTATGTATATAGCTGCAGAAAAATACTCCTGATACTACAGCTTTCTCCTGCTAACTTGAGTTCATGTCACATCCATGGCCGTTGCTTCGCTGGTTTTATAATTTTTGAGTCTTTTCATTGTTTTTCCAGATTTCTTTAAGGTTTAGAGCAGGGGTGCCCAATCCCAGTCCTCGAGAGCTACCGTCCTGCAGCTTTTAGATGCATCCTTCTTCTGACACACCTGAATCAACCGAATGGCTTGTTATCAGGCCTTTGCCAAACTTGATGGCATGCTGAAGAGGTAATCACACCATTTGATTCAGCTGTGTTGGAGTAGGGATGCATCTAAAAGCTGCAGGATAGTAGATCTCGAGGACTGGGATTGGGCAGCCCTGGTTTAGAGACTGCGGCTACTTGTTGGACCGATCGTAGTGTGGGTTCCGTTTCACCCTTTCATGATCACAGATTAGGAAGCAAACTTGAAAAGATAAAGAGTTCTTTTGTTTTGATGTAAAACAATCAATGTTGCCATTTTTGTATTAAATTCAGACATGTGACCCACCTGAGGTGTAACTGTTAAAATGCTCAGCACGTGCATACAGCAGGGTACAGTTTTCTATGTTGCAACATTCAGTTCAGAACGAACTCAACAAAGAGTGAAGAAGGTCATTTAGTGTCAATCAGAACTGAACTGCAGTGGTTGTTCCATCAGCGACTGTCTGACCTCCTACATACATGAGTAACAATAAAGAGAACACACAAAGGACACGCAGGCTCTCGCCTTAAACATCACATTCAGAGTTTGTAAATCATTCATCCAACTTCAAATGTTTCCTTAAACTGAACTCATGTATTTGACAGGGAGCCAATGTAGTTTGGCTAAAGTTGGAGTAAATTAGGTGACTAATGGTTAAAAAAGACAAAACTATCAGCATATAACGTCGCTTTGCACCTCCGAGTCGTATAGAGCGTTAAGTATAGAGCAGGACCAGTCACCCAGTTATCAAGTGTAAGTTGAACCCCAGATCAGTGGAGCATTGTTTCTCCCTCTCTGGGAATGCAGAGCATGTATCTGCATGCTCGGGATAAAGTTCAAGAGATGAAATATAAACCACATCATAATACATTGCTAAGGGTCATAATTCCACACAGGTGAACCTAGCTTTTTTCCCTTTTGACCACCCATGTGTGCTGTGAAAGGATAAAGCAGTTTCTCAGCAGCCTGTGTAGAAGGCCTGTGCTCTGTCATGTGCTTCTTTCTACACATGAATGGAAGTGAATGGCATGCCAATACCTGACCCAAGCCACAGCGATGTCTAGACTGAAAGCAGCTAAATACACACCTTGTAAAAACTCGGCCTAACATACCTGGCCCTGGGTGGTACGTGTGTCTCCTTCATTATTCAGTGTGCATATTCCTGAACTGTAGAGAATTCAGCTGGTGGTGTAGTGTTTATACCCCTCCTTCAAAGCATATATTAAAAAGGACATAAAACATTTAGAAAAGGGCTGAACTTTCCAGTCTTTTCACTTTCTTTTCTGAAAGTGAGATGTGGTTCTAATAAAGAGTAGGCATCAGGGCGTAAACAGCAAAGACTGGCGGTGTGTAAAATTTGCACAGTTTACTTTGTGTGTACTTCTTTTTTTTTTTGCTCACTGTTTGCAGCACACAGACTTTCAGGGACCTGTGCTACAGACTGACATTACTATACCTAGGGTGTCTTTCTGTTATCTGGATTCACTTACCCTAATCTTGACTACTGGGATACTTGGTCACACATAGCTGGTATAACGTGCACAGGTAACCCAGGCTTTCCCCTGTGTGTTCACATGAAAGCGTGTAGGAGGTATCTGACCAATCTAAAAAGGGATGTTTCGTGGATCATATAAATTACACAGAAAATGATCCCTGTGAGTGTCACCTAGGGCTGGGCGATATGGCCTAAAATTCATATCGCGAAGCACGTGCGGTAACGATATATATCACGATATATTCTTTTCTTCTGTATAACGTATTTTCCACACTTTAAATCCTTTAATTTTCTCAAAAATCGAGAGTGTGCCTTATGTATGAATTCTGGTTCCTGCATTACGGCTGCCGTAGTGAGGAGCTTCACAAAGTAATCTGGGTCCAAAACTCCGTCCACTTCAGGTTCCAAAGTCAAACGAACACAGAGTTAAAAACGGTCTAAATTCTTTCATCTTTAGTTAAATCATCAGTGTTGCTGCTTTATCGGGTGTAACAATTAAGTTTAACATCCATGAAAACAGAATTTATTAAATTTAACGGAGTTAGAAGTTAACAGGAAGTTAGATCGCTAGTTTACACCTAAACATTTCATACCATGTTCTGACTGAGATTTCTGAAACTAATTCAAACGTACAGCTCTGCTGTCACTTCCAACATAAATGAAGACAGAAAACTAAACAGCAGTGACGTTTGCAGGGTTATTGAAGTTGGACTACCTGGTATATAATGATGTGCTACGTGATTGCTAGCGACACAGCTATGTTAGCATAACATTAGCACAGTGAAGCTGCAGGATGAAGCCAACTTTTTTTCCACTCATTAAAAGTTAACGTGAGGGATTCTGGTGGTCAGGGACAAATGCAATCGCATAGCAGGATGCTATACACGGGCCAAACTTCAGTCAGGAGAACAACTGAGATTATTCATCCACAATACGAGGTTAGTTATTAATATACTGCAACAACATGGGAACAGAACAGCTGCGAGAGAATTCAACATTAATGAATCAATGTTACAGAAGTGGAGGAAGCGCAGTTTTTGGCTTTCCCCATATTTCAACAGTGCTTCATCTCTTTGCTATGACTGTCTCCCGCCATAATTTGCAGATGATCATGGTTTTAGCCACTGCGATGCTTTCGACCAAAACAGGCGCAGCTTGATGACATCATCAACATGCGCTATGGCGATAGAGCGATATAGTCAAAATCTCTATCGTTGGCCAAATTTATATCGTTTCTATCGCCCACCCCTAGTG